GACGGGTCAAAACAGTGGCGCAGCCGTAACGCAGGCCAAAGGAAACTCTGCTCTGAACTGCCTGGAAACAGCTTGTTTGCGGTCCAGCCATTTCCCTTTATCTCTCTGACGACACAGGGATGAAAGCAAAAAGTGCGACATATAACACTCGCCAAGCGGCTAGTCTGACACGCCCTCACACACAGGTGGAAAAACAGTGAGCTGCAGCACAGCTCTCCCCTCCCTTCCAAACACTAGCTACCCTCCAGGCAGTCAGTGGACATAAACATACTGTGCTGTAGAGACAGAGCTCAGTTAAAACTTTATGGATGAAAGATACTTTTGTTACAGATTAATAACTCACCACTCTCGCTCCAGTCTTTGTTGCCAAGCTGGTCCGCAACATGTAGCCTACAGCTGAACCGAAGCTGTTTACCGGCTTCTCGCTGACCCGCCCTTCTCTGCTTTTGATTGGCTAGTAGTCCTTAACTAGGAACTGCACATGTGCAACTCCCAACAAAGATCATGTAGAGTGTTCCAGTTATGCTGGCTACCTTATCAAATTGGAAAACATGACATTTGAAAGTGCATTATTTTCAATGTCAAAATTTATTTTATCTTTCTCAGTTACTTGTAACAGATAATTAACAATAAATACAATAAGGATTTGAAATTAAGGGGAGTAAAAGTTGAAACCCCCATAAAAAGAAAATACTCAAACTCAACATTTGACATAAGTAAAGTACTTGAGTAACATAACCCCTAAGTGGGGTCACTAAGACAAAACTTTTGGAGCTTTTTTGCTGATCCACATTCTGGAGACTGAAATGACACTTATTTAAGATACTGTAGAGATCTCATCTTTTGATCAGAGTAAGACAGAGATGAGTTTTTGCTCCTGAGGCCAATATGAGATCACAGGAGTCATAGCTGAGTTTTCTTTGAGCTATTTCTCTGATCTCATGGTCCAATGTTCAGGAGACTTAAATTCTCTAATTTTGAGCAGAGTCAGACATAAATGAGATTTTATATGGTTGTTTCTCCTGAGATGAATTTGAGAAGTGGGAGAAAAGGCCTTTGGTGTTACCTTGGTATTAAGCAGCTCATTTGTGTCTAGGAGAAAAGAAGGAAACAACTATGAGATCTCATCTAGGATTTTGCTCTCCTATGGGTAAACATGTTTCCGTAAAAGTAAGAGAAGAAAAAGTTCTGGTCGCTGCATCTACACGCGCTGCCATTGCCATGGTTTCCTACAAAATGTCAAAGCAAAGATAGTATTAGTGTAGAGAGCGAGTTGAGTAATATGAACACATTGTGTCATTCTGTCTCTGTGTGTTCTCTGAGTTTCTGTGTATGTGTGGAGGCAAATCCCAAACTAGAACAGTCAGATGGGTTCTAATTGCTACCAGGAGGTTTCCCCCCAAATGACACACGCTGCTGAAATGTTCCCACACAGTTGCTCAATGCTGTTGTATGTGGAAAGAAAGAATTTTTACAGCAGATCTCTGATCGACCTAAATGCCATTACTTTAAATAAATGAAATTACCTGCGTCACTGATTCTCACAAGAATCAAAAGACCCAATGCTTTAGCTGTGGGTCTATCAAGTGTATGCTCAGTTTTCTTCAGTCCACATTCCTTGGCTTCTTTCCCTGCTCTGCCGTCCCAGGGGGGCTAATAGAGGACAGATGGCCATTTCAAATATGTGAGAGAATTTGGTTACGTACAACAACAAAGTTTGTATAGTAAATGCAAAAAAGCATTGCAATGGGTTGCCATAATTTTTTTTAATGTTGATGGGATGAATAAACATCAAAAGACAATAATGTGATATTTCATTATCAAGATCATAACAAAATAAAAGACTTCATACTGAAAATAATTTCAGTAACTATATTATTGTTATTTTCTGTACATTATATATTATTTTGTCTCAGCATTAAATTGCAGTTTCCATTAAATGTTATGTTAATGCCACTTTTGAGTGAGGACCAGTAATATTTTTGTGGATTGTATACTGAATTTGTAATGTGACCTTACTTTTGTGGTGCAACTTTCACAATGCCACATGGCCCCAATGTCAAAATAAAAATCATTAGAGCCTGTTTAAAGCTGCATTCAGTTCTTTTTTTGCCATTTAGAGTCAGCTGAAGAAGCTTCAAACGCAACACTGACATATTAATGCCTAAAAAAGGTACCATTGGAAACAAGTTAGCAAACAGTTGCATAGTACACATCCATCAGACACGGAGTGGAGTGGTGTTTGTCCAATAATGACTCATTTAGCTCTGCTTTAGCCTTTGTGTGCTGCTGCTGGAAGACAGTCGATGAGAGTGGAGTTTGAGGGAAACCAAAACGAGCTAAAAGTGGCTGAAAAGCAAGAGGGAAACTGCAGAGTTGGTGATAATTGTCTGTGGGTTATTCTCTATGATTAACCATTTTCATATTACACCATTCATCCATCCATCCATTGTCAACCGCTTATCCTGCGTACTGGGTCGTGGGGGGCTGGAGCCAATCCCAGCTGACATCGGGCGAAAGGTGGGGTACTCTGGACTGGTCGCCAGTCCATCATTTAATTAACTGTTACAGAAATATTTTTAAAAACATGACTACCGGAGCTTTCAATACTTTCTTAGATTCTCAGCTGCCATTCATGGTCCAAGAAATAGGTCACTAGAAAATAAGGTTAAATTCAGGTAAATTGAGTTGTTAGAAATTCCATGCTGCTAACATGCGTGCGCTGGTTGTTATCCTTACCCTCCTACTTATCCACAAATGGTAGAAATGGGTTAACCACAAGATAATTAAATGCTCAGTTCCTGTTCTTTAAAACATATGTAATAGTGAGAGGAAATCTTAGAACTCTTGAATCTGGTCTGATAAGGTGTTTTTTCTAATGTTCATGTCAAAGTTTATTTTCATGGTCCCAAAACACATATTTATGTACCAAAGAAAAAGAAAATCTTTAAAAATAGTTCACAAAAATATAATTTCAAAAGTCTCTGTAATTTCCTTAAACAGCTGTTCACTGTAGTTTATATTAAACCTTACTGGAACAGTGCAACAGTGAGGCTTACTGATCTCTATAATAGTTTCTGTGCAACAACAGAGCAGAGGAAGAAGATTCATCAGGCTGTGATACACACACAGTACCTGTCATCCCACTGCCTGATTTGGAACTTTTAACTTCAGATCTATGTAGTGACGTCTATGATCATCAAAAAATACCTTTTTTCAGAACTATCTACATCTGACATTGACTGGATACAACAAAAACATGTAGAAAGACATGTTTCACATTGAAATACATCATGTTCATTCAAAGTATGCAATGCATAACTTTGGATAAGATTTTCTTCTCTATTGTTAAAAAACAAATTGTTCCTAATTGATAATCGCTGAAACATGTGCTTAATATACATGTATGTATTGTTATTTCATTTGATATATTCAGATTCAAAACTTCAGAATCATCACCCTAAGGTATGAGAATTTTATTGTATGTGACCTCTGTAGGAGTCAAACCTACAACCTTAGTGTTGGTAGCTTAGTGCTCTAACAAAAGAGCCACAAATAACTACTTCAATGATTACAGTAGGTACAATAAAATACTGTAAAATACATTACATGATTATCATCCATAATAATATGTTATAGTAGTAAAATACAGTAAAAGTTTGTTTCTTGCATCACTGATTGTAGAGGATGTCTTCATTGATCACAACTTGATTACATATAGGATAGATATTATGGAAATGATAAGATTATGTAAATGCTGGGCAATGTAAGTGTATTGCCTAATGTGAAAACTGTGTAATCTGTCTTTTACAGTACTGTAGCATACTAATTTCAGTACTTTGAAACATGTATCTCCCATTGTTTGTTATTGAATTCATTGGTAGTTAAAACTAAACTGAAAAGATATCATTATGTTCTGTTTTGGTGATTAAACCATTTCTTCTTATGACTTTTCATGAGAAACTTAGATTTTAAATGAATGGCTTGTGTTGAGAGATGTTTACCATCTACATGAATGCACAATGGCATGTATTGAATTTAAGACTGGCTGTTTTACAGGTTAGGTTAAGTGTGATGAGTTTGGAGTTTTGTACTAAGAGTTGTGAAATTTTACCACACTAATAGTACCAAAACAGTCAACAAAAACTGTATTTATTAGGTATATCAATAATTGGAAATTTAAATTTAATGAATCTCAGCAGATTGGAGGCTCTACCTCCTGAGCCACAACCGCAGCTCAGGAGGTAGAGCCTCCAATCTGCTGAGATTCATTAAATTTAATTTAGAGCGGGTTGGCCGTTAATCGGAAGGTCGGCGGTTCAATCCCTGGCTCCCCCTAGTTGCGTGTCGAAGTGTCCTTGGGCAAGATACTGAACCCCGAATTGCCCCTGGCGGCTATTCCGCCAGTGTATGAGTGAGTGTGAATGTTAGTTTCCGTTTGAGCACTTAGGCTCAGTGTATGACTGGTGAATGCAGATGTAGTGTAAAAGCGCTTTGAGTGGTCGAAAAGACTAGAAAGGCGCTAAACAAGTACGGAGCATTTACATTCATTTAAATTCTTAACTATTGGTATAGGTATTGGTGTGCCATATCTGGTTTCCTGGTGAGCTAAAAGCCACTACTTAACTGGATTACTTGGGACAAAGTCTATCAGCCATCAAGGCAACAGGGTATCAAGCTGTTTGCTGAGTACATGAGCTGCCTGTTGCTGAGAATCTCCTTCCTGCAAAGAAAGATCCAACTATTTGGTTCTTGTCAGGGTGGGTGTAGGTACTACTAACAAATGACCCATGTTTCTCTCTTAGTTTACACACTGCACAGTCAGGGACAATTTCCAAGTTTTCAAGGGGCGCTATGTGTCAGCCCAAGGACATTCATGTTTTTCATCTGTGTTTTGGTAAAAGGAGGAGTTAAAACTGAGCAAAGTGTTGTCCAATCCTACATCAGCAGGCAGTCATGTGGGAGGGATCAGCAGGCGGAACCCTGAACAGTCCCCTAGCTCCCACACTCTGAGCAGCTTCTACCCAGAGAAAATTGTATCTACTTTTCCTGTGTTCAGATAGTTTAAACAAGATCAACGACTGAAGCAGAAAGGATTTTGGGTTGTGTTACCATGGCATCTCTGAAAACTGTGCTTTATCTGGGAGTCTGTCTATCTGTTTGGATCATTACTACTGCAGGTAAGACCACTAGATAGATAGATAATTTATGTAACATGTCCCAACATTCCCATTAGATTGAGATTAGAAATATTAAAAAGGATTTATGATTGTTATTGATCCATAAAAACTGAACTTAAAGATAAATAATTGTGAAACACATAGACAAACATAGAAACAATAATAATCAATTATTACTATATGGCTTGACAATAAAAATAAAATACTGCTTGCAGGCATGGCATACAAATGAGAAAAGACTATATACAACATTCCAGCAGCGAGACAGTTTTGTGTGGTAGCCAGCCAGAGACCGCTGTTGTGAATTTTAGAGCATTATAGCCTAAATTGTTATCATTAATTACTAGAGCGATGGTGGTCTACGGTGGTCTACATTGTCATCATTTAAAGTGTTATTTTATAGTGTAAAGTTAAGATCATAGTGTTAAAACTCTATAGCTCTGAGTGTGTGTGTGCTCCTTTTTGTATCTAACTGCCCACAGGCAGTAGCACATGGTTGTGTGTGTAAGCAGGCACGTGTGCTCTGGGAACAGAATGAGCACAGCAAGACATCATCAAAAACACCAGCAAAATTTAATCAGTATTAATAAATAATCATTCTTAATTCATCATTTTTAATCATTCTGTTATCCTTAATTAGTATTAATCATTCTTAATCACTTTGTTTTCACCTAGATGTGTCTTGTCTTTACTTAAAAGTGCTGTACTGTAGTCATGAATGCAGTAACAAGCTCACTGTGGTTAAGATCCCTGAGTGGGAGCATTGACTGCAGACACTGAGACTATGCACGCCTTGTTCAACTGTTATCTACTGTAGATTTATGACTACATGATGAACTGCTGATGTGTTAGTCTGCTGATATTAAGACTACATGTTTAATTACCAACTAGGACTACATGCTTAATTACTGATTAAGGGGTTGATTGTCAACTTCCAACCTCTGATGCTTATAGCCTGTGTGAGCTTTGAGTGAACTTGCTTATAGCACCATGTGAGCATTGGGTGAACTTGCTGAAGGAGCATTTGCTAGCTTCGCATGGCAGAAAGGTTGAGCTTCTGAGGCAGAAAGTGGATGAACAAATGATGATAAGCAGAAAGTAGAAAACAGCCAGCATAACTATTACTGTAAGAAACCAAGCATTAATGAAAGGCACAGCACTACATATGTTATTCTTGTAGTAATTTTTTAAGAAATATAACTGTGTGTCCGATTATGCATGCATAACTTTTGAAAAAACAGTGAGATTTGAGTTGAAATGTAAATGAGGAATTTCTTATCCTGTAATGTAAAAATATAGAAAGTCAACAACACAGAATGATGAATGATAGCTGGAAAACGTTGTTAATTGGTAAAACAATACGTGTAAGTAGCATAAAAGCAGAGGATAAGAAATTCACCATAAAGAAAGGAGTGGGCACACCAGCCCAGAATGGATATATAAGGCGTCTGCAGACCATAGGATTGACTTCATCCTCCGGCCTGCTGGGATGTTGTACGGGTTTATTTGTCCTGTTTTGGAATAAACTCTTTTGCACCGACTCTTGACCATCTCCAGAGAAGTTTTTGACTGCAAACTTATTGACTATAGTGGAAAGCTAATGGCGTATTTTTTGACAAAGTTCATAAAGCTGGTGAAGGTGGGGATCAGGTCTAACTGGCCCAGCCTGGTCGCACATCTGACCCAATCCGCTCCTCACTTTTGTCACAGAAACTGTTTTTTTGCACACTTAACACAGACACAGGCAGAGGTGGGCCTGGCTCAGGCGAGTCATCTGCGCTATAAAGCTTTGCTTTTATTCATCCAGCTTTTGAAATACTTGCCTGTGAGATTTCTGCCTCCACACCAATACAGTGGAGGTAATTGGAATTTACACAGACCTCACTGTGCACAGTCTCAGTGTGTATTCATTCATCTCCATTGTGTTGGTCATTGTGTGATGGTCAGACCTTAGTCTCTGTTGCCATGGCCACCACTGGTCACTCCTTGGCACATCCCCCATTGTTGCATATAAGTAGTAGCCTATTTACTGTTGCAGGGAAAGAATCAGACGGATACACAATGTAGATAAGGATACATATATACTATCTATACTAGAAATGTATGCATGTACTGTATATTGGTAAATGTTCATGTAGTAATTATGTTTACAAAGGGAGGATATTCATGCGATTGATGCAACAATAACTTTGCACAGTTGTAACATTCTCCAGTTGTTCTGTGGAGGGGAAGTATTTAAAACATGCAGGTGTGGGGCGCCGGTTAGGTCACGTCTCTCTCCCACATTTCCTGTCTCTCTTCAGCTGTTCTATCAAATAAAGACAAAAAATATTTTAAAAAAACATGCAGGTGGAATCAGTAAATGTTCCATGACGCTATTTACCTAATCATGACAGATGGAATGTTGGTCCTACTAATGTAGCAAACAAAATGTCTCACAACATTCTTTAGATGTTGTTTTTAACTCAATGTGAACCTAATGGAATGTTACAAGAATATTGCTGGACGTACAGTATCTCAAACTCTATAAAAATCATTACTATTTACTATTAAGGAACCTCTTACCTTTGGCTCATATTCAGCTTTGCTCACTTTTGTTTATGAGAAAGAAAGGATGAGATGTGATTGTCAAAGTTTTTCTCCAGCTGATTTATCAAAACTGATGTATGTTTTGTTTATACATTACGATCACTCATTGAAAAAACTGAAACAGGAATGGAGAATATTCAGACATCAAGGATGAGTGGAATATAATGCTGTGTTATATTGTATTCATAGATAAGAACTTTGTGCCGGCTGCAGAGGAAGTACACTGGATATCTCTGGACTTTAAAACCACCCTATTCTGGACTACTAAGGCATCAAAATACACATACACTGTCAAGTACTTTAGGTGAGTAGTGAGTGGGTGTGCATACTCATTCCCCTTTGTCCCCCCAGTCCTATGCTCCTGCACACAAACACACACACACACACACAAGTACAGAAAGAATAGAAGTGCATTAGAAGAAACCCTATTTTTGACAGTGCTGCTGCCAGTCATTTAAATGTTTCCATCCGTGCAGTAATGTCACAGCAAATATCGTGGGACAAATTAAATTTTTAGCTTCTATAATCCATGTTTAGACGCTCAGACGGCGCTCAGGATAGATCAGGACGACGGTTGCTTTACTGCAATGATCTGTATGATCCTGGACTGTGTGTGAGAGCTTTTGGATGTGTAGAAGAACACAGAACATGAATTAACATTAGAGTCTGGCCAGAGGTGGAAAGAGTACAAAAATATTCTACTCAAGTAAAAGTACTTTGATGTACTTTTACTTAAGTACAAGTAAAGTTACTGTTATACAAATCTACCTAAGTAAAAGTAAAAAGTAGCCCAAAGACTTTGGCGGGCCGCACTGGACTGGGAAAATGGGAAACACTGAACTGTATGAAGTCATATCCCTATTTACATTCAAACAGGTGGTCATTTTAATGGGATATCATAAGCATTAGTAGAATAAATAACTAGTTACCAGCAGGTTGCTAATGCCAACCAATATTGTCATGCAGTGATGTCTTTTTGGCTATTAGGAGCAAAGCATCTTGAATTTTAAGCCCCTTCACAGTCCATTGTGGAGACTGATGCACATGAGTGTCCACATTTGATCTTGGATGATTTTCACTGCACTAGCTTTCTCATGATGCATCAGGGGTCCTCAGCTACATTAGTTCTAAGCAGACACTGTGGGGGCCGGACTTTCAATTGCCATATTACTGTTTAATATTTTCAACTTTCGCAAAATGAATGTTTTTATTAGCTTATATCAGTGTGAACAGACTCCTTAAAAACATGGTAGGCCTAAATCCATAATGATAAATCTACATAGGCTATACTAAACAGGCCTACTTAACTAGAAAATGCGCAGCCAAGGAGTTCACTGAGGAATGATGGCTAAAATCTGTAATTGTAAATGTAAGTCTGATTTAATCAACCGGTTTTGGCGCTATTATGCAGCTGCCCGTTATTGTGCATGAGACACCTATAGTGACTGGTGGTAACAGCAGATGCCTTTTGATACCACAGGGCACAGACGTCTGGGCCAGCTAAACAAACTACTGTCAGGCAGTTATAGGTATTTTCCATAATTATGTGAGCAGTCATGATCTGACTTTATGCTGCACACAGCTGCAAACAGCGAAAGTGAAAGGAGTTGGTTACCTGGCTGAGAAGGTGTAGGTGTGCAGCCTGTCTGCATGCAGCTCGTTATCTAACAGCTCTCTGTGTCTGCTGCTGACTGTTGTATTACTCACTGCAATATTTCAAACTGGTCCGCTGTCAGTAAACTGCTGAAAATGACGGTTGTCTTGTTGCGTAGCCACATTGCAGGAAATGTTCAATTTGCATTAGCAGAAAGTTAATACAGCATTTTTTCACAGCTTACACTGCATGATAAAGCTGTTGTTCTGTTGCACTTGAAGCCAAAGTTGCAAGTTTTTCCTTGCACATTTTTTTACTCAGTAACGGATATGATTGAAAATGTAGCAAAGTACAATACTTTAAACATAACATACTTAAGTAAAAGAAAAATTACAGATTTAAAAAACTTCTTCAAAAAGTACAAGTACACAAAAAGCAACTCAATTCAAGTAACGTGAGTAATTGTAATTCGTTACTTTCCACCTCTGATCCTGTTGGTGTGGCAGGAGATTTTTAATTATTAATTTATGTTGCTGCGGCTCGTGCGTAAATGCGCACATCGTCTCTGGAGTGCTGCTTCCCCTGGTATAACAGTCTGAGCCTGTCAATGATAAAAAGAAGCACTTTTGTGGACGTCATTTTAACAGGGGCAATCGCCCAGCTGCCGGCTGAAGCATCTACTGCACTGATTCAAAACCTTTTGTACCTACAAGTAATTTACACACCAACATATGTGAATTAGGGCCAATGTTTAAAAATACTGAAATGACCCTTTAAGAACTTGATAAGTGTCTCACTGTCAGACAAATCTTTGATTCTTGATGACTTTGTTACTTCTCACAATTTGGCCATCTAATGTCTTAGTGAGACATAGCCCAATCAAAGGACTGCTGGCCTCTGGTGGAGCTTTGCCCACCTAACCATAAGACCCTGAATCCCCCAAGGGCCATAGGCCATGATGGAGTGATAGGAACTCCAAGAGTGGAGGAGGTGTGTCCACCAATCCGAACTGACTGGGGTCTGTTTGTGAGGAAGTCCAATATCCAGTTGCAGAGTGTTTTTGTATTTGCATTTAAACCCAGATTGCTGAGCTTGCTTGGTGCATGTGTCTGACTTAGTTTCTAATCATTCGTGTATGACTTTTGACAGTTATACAGTCAATGCTGATTTCTAGTAACGGAGGATGCTAATTTCAGTCCCTCCCAAATCGATCATCTTGTTGATAGTGCTGCAGGCTCGCTGCGAATAACACTCAACTCTGTTGCCCCTCTAAAAAAGAAAATAATAAAACAAAGACGGTTAGCTCCATGGTATAATACTGAAACTTGCAAATTAAAGCAAATATCGCGGAAACTTGAGAGGAATTGGCGTTCCACCAAACTGGAAAATTCTCGTTTAATTTGGCAAGATAGTCTTAAAACTTATAGGAAGGCCCTCCGTAATGCCAGAGCAGCGTACTACTCGTCATTAATAGAGGAAAATAGGAACAACCTCAGGTTTCTTTTCAGCACTGTAGCCTGGCTGACAGAGAGTCACAGCTCTATTGAGCCATGTATTCCCATAGCTCTCAGTAGTTACGACTTCATGAGCTTCTTTAATGATAAAATTCTAACTATCAACTCAATCTTTACCAACTAACTTCTTCATCTAGACCATCAACCTGCCTCTTAGACCCCATCCCGACTAGGCTGCTCCAAGAAGTTTACCCTAAATCAGCACTTCTCTACTAGATATGATCAATCTATCTTTATCAACAGGCAATGTACCACAGTACTTTAAAGTAGCTGTAATTAAACCTCTTCTGAAAAAGCCCAACCTTGATCCAGATGTTTTAGCCAAATATAGACCTATATCTAACCTTCAATTTCTCTCTAAGATCCTTGAGAAAGCAGTTGCCAAACAGCTGTGTGACTTTCTACATAGAAATAGTTTATTTGAGGATTTTCAGTCAGGATTTAGAGTTCATCATAGCACAAAGACAGCACTGGTGAAAATTACTAATGACCTCCTAAGTGCATCAGACAAAGGACTTGTCTCTGTACTGGTTTTATTAGACCTTAGTGCTGCTTTTGATACCATTGACCATCAGATCGTATTACAAAGACTGGACTCCTATTTATAAGATCGATTTCAGTTTGCACATGTTAACAATGAGTCCTCCATGCACACCAAAGTTAGTTAGTTCCACAAGGATCTGTGCTCGGACCAATCCTCTTCACTTTATACAGTATATGCTTCCTATTATCAGGAAACATTCCATAAACTTTCACTGTTATGCAGATGATACTCAGTTATATCTATCGATCAAGCCAGATGAAACTCATCAGTTAGCTAAACTTCAAATGTGCCTTCAGGATGTTAAAACCTGGATGACCTGTAATTTTCTAATGTTAAACTCAGATAAACTGAAGTTATTGTTCTGGGGCCCAAGCACCTCCGTGACGCATTATCTAAAGATATAGATTCCCTTGATGGCATCGCCCTGGCCTCCAGCACCACTGTGACGAATCTTGGAGTTATCTTTAATCAGGACATGTCGTTTAAATCTCACATTAAGCAAATTTCAAGGAACGCCTTTTTTCACCTACGTAATATTGCAAAAATCTGGAACATCCTGTCTAAAAATGATGCAGAAAAACTAGTCCATGCATTTGTTATTTCTAGGCTGGATTACTGAAATTCCTTATTAACAGGCTGCTCAAAAAAGGAAAAGTTTAAGAGCAACAATTTAGTTACAGTAAACGGGCCTGACTCAGTTTAAAAACTGGTTTACAGCAGGTTCCTGTTCTGCAGCAACATAGAACAATAAACACAATTTCAACACATTTTCAAGTGAACAAGTGAAACATTAAGTACGGGAAAACAAGACTAAAAACAATATATGAACAATCAATGTGTACAAGTATGAGTGTTAAGAAGAAACAGTTTATATGACTTTTTGAAATATGTGATGGATGATAATGTCCGAATATGATGGGGAATGTCATTCCAAATTTTAGTGTAAATATAGAAAAAAGATTTCTGACCGTAGTTGTTTTTGTATGATGGAACTGGAATGAGTGCCTGTGAGACTGACGTAGTGAAGCGTAGTGGTCTCATATTGTATGTCGGAAGAAGACCTTTCAGTGCCGGTGAAGAGCTATTTTGAATCTGAAAGTAAAATGCAATAGTATGACTGTTTACGTAGTTCTGATAAGTCAGAGCATTTGTGCGTGTGAGCGCACTGCAATGATGAGACCGCTTTGGAAGATTACTGTGGATCTTAAGTGCTTGGTAATATAGTCGGTTCAGTGATGGCCAAGATGGCACCGCAGACGGCCGCCCCGGGGTTACGCTCCGTAGTGCTTTTGTTAATTAACGCTGTTTTCTGCCGTCCCTCTCTGGTAACTTTTACCAGAGAAGAGCTCTTAAACATTGGACTTTCAACTGCTCATACTATTCCACTGCTCTTTATTGATGCTGGAACTTTCCTGGAGTTACTAGTTGGAGGAGCGGCAGCTCTGTTTAGGATTCTTTGGAAACGGTGCAGGGGAAAACGTGCAGGCGCGCTGGTTAAGCTGAGACAGCGGGAATCCACCCTCCCTTCAATCCACCTGGCGAATGTCCGCTCTCTGGCCAACAAAATGGACAAACTGCTTCTCCTCAACAGAACTAACTCGGACTTCTGCAGATCTGCTGGCTCACCGAGCGCATCCCGGACAGCGCACTTCATCTACCGGGATTTAATCTCATCCGCGCGGATATCACAGTGTTGAAGAAATCATGCAGGCCTCACCTAGAGTCATTATTTATAAACTGTAAACCATTTTATTCACCGCGGGAGTTTTCCTCGTTTGTTCTGGTCGCTGTTTACATTCCATCTCAGGCCTGTGTTAGTGAGGCGCTACTACACCTGAAAATCTGTGCAGACCAGCTGGGCCCCATCTTCACCCAGATCTTCAACAAATCACTGGAGCTGTGTGAAGTTCCCTCCTGCTTCAAACGCTCCATAGTCATCCCGGTCCCAGAAAAAACCCTCCATCTCTGGACTAAATGACTACAGGCCCGTCGCCCTGACATCTGTAGTCATGAAATCCTTTGAAAGACTGGTGTTGGCCCACCCGAAGGACATTACAGGCCCCCTGCTGGACCCCCTGCAGTTTGCCTACAGGGGATCAGTGGATGATGCTGTCAACTTGTATCTGCATCACATCCTGCAACACCTCGACTCTCCAGGGACATATGCAAGGATCCTGTTCGTGGACTTCAGCTCGGCGTTCAACACCATCATCCCGGACATCCTCAGCACCAAACTCACCCAGCTCACTGTGCCAGCCTCCACCTGTCAGTGGATCACAGACTTCCTGACTGACAGGAGTCAGCAGGTGAGGCTGGGAAACATCACATCCAGCACCCGGACTATCAGCACTGGCGCCCCCCAGGGGTGTGTGCTCTCCCCACTGCTCTTCTCCCTCTACACCAACGACTGCACCTCAGGAGACCCATCTGTCAAACTCCTGAAGTTCACTGACGACACAACGGTCATCGGCCTCATCTGGGACGGTGATGAGTCGGCCTACAGACGGGAGGTTAAGGAGCTGGCTCTCTGGTGTGGTCAGAACAACCTGGAGCTTAACACGCTCAAAAATGTGGAGATGACCGTGGACTTCAGGAGGAGCCCCCCACTCTGCCCCCCATCACCATACTCAACAGCCCTGTGTCTGCTGTGGAATCCGTTTCTGGGTTCCACTATATCCCAGGACCTGAAGTGGGAGCCCAACACTGACACCATCATCAAGAAGGCCCAGCAGAGGACGTACTATCGGCGTCAGCTCAGGAAGCTCAACCTGCCTAAGTTCCAGCTCCTCCCCTCTGCTAGGCGCTACAGAGCACTGTACGCCAAAACCAACAGACACAGAAGCAGTTTCTTCCCACAAGCCATCACTCTGATGAACAGCTGATTTCTGACTCACAGTGTCAGGAACAATTCCTGTGCAATAACCCAGTAACTCTCTCTCTAATCAGCCACCTGTTTACTGGTTTCCACATATAATTTATTTATTCACAATTCTCTATTTCAGTGCTGTTCATACTGTCATATTGTATATACTGTATACCAATACACCTACATCAGGTCATAAGGTCATAGGTCTTATTTATTTTTTCCAGCATCCTTTGCACTATGTTCCATCACACTGTGTACATGTGTACATGTATGTGTACCAGTATATCATATCCACCTTCAACATGTACATAATGAGAATAATAGTTTACTCTTGCATCCTTTGCACTCTGTTCATAGTGTGTATGTTAGTGTTGTCTATACTGTAGTTTGTGTCTGATTTTATTTATTATTATTTTATTGTTGTGTTATGGTATTTTTGTACGAGTAAACACATCGTGAGCAATGTACAATCCTGAGTCGAATTCCTCGTATGTGTACACATACCTGGCAATAAAGCGGATTCTGATTCTGATTCTGATTCTGATGTCCTTAGTGGTAAGAGACCAGATTGGAAGACAGTAGGACATTGTTGAAAACACAATGGCATGTAGGTAAATTTCAGAAACCGAAAAGGAGAGATATGACCTAACCTTGTTATACACATTGAGTTTCTGATTCAGCTTTTTTGTTAATCTAGAAATGTGTTCCCGATATGTAAGGTGTGAATCAAGTAATACACCAAGGTAGTTGTAGGTCTTTGTGATGACAATTTCTTGGTTTGCAAAAGTAATAAAATTAGTAAAAGAAAGACTTTTTCTGGGTGAATGAAAATACATACATTCAGTTTCTTTACATTAATGGTCAGATGGTTCTTTTTCAGCCAATCATGTAGCAAGTGAAGATCAATTGATAGTTTATGGATATGGTGATGATGATTAGATAATTTATGACATTAAGGTTTCACTCAGGTGAGTCCTGAACCATCCCTTAGTTATGCTGCTATAGGCCTAGACTGCCGGGGGACTTCCTATGATGCACTGAGCTCCTCTATCCTCTTCTTTCTCTCCCTCTGTATGCAACCTCATCCCATTAATGCATATTACTAACTCGACTTCTACCCTTTCCAGTAGTCTTGTGCTTTCTCGTCCCTCTCCTCTCTCCTCCTATCACTTCCTGCAGGTGTTTATGGCTCTGGAGCTGTGGAGTCTGGATCTGTGGTTGCAAGTCACCTGCTGCCCCCGTGTTCCTGCTCGACACCCTCTGCTACAATAATTGTTACTAGTCCTATTGCTATTATTACTGTTATCATTAACATTACGATTATTGTCAGTAACACTACTATAAATACTGTACCATTTTCATTCAGTCTATAGCAACATCACCTTTACTGTATGTACCTGTGTGTATATTGTGTAGGCTGCTTCCCTCCTCCCTTCCATCCCTCTCTCTTTCCCTCCCTCGGTTTCACCCCCAACCGGTCGAGGCAGATGGCTGCCCGCCCTGAGCCATTGTTCTGCTCGAGGAAGTTTTTCCTTGCCTCTGTCACCTAGTGCTGCTCTTGGTGGGAACTGTTGGGTTTCTGTAAATATCATCACAGAGTATACCTGCTCTTTTATGAAAAGTGCTCTGAGATTACTGTTGTGATTTGGCGCTATATAAATAAAATTTAATTGAAATGAATTGAATTCTTAGAAACCACCAACACATGACATGAAAATTCCTAAGTTTTCCGATATTAATGACTCTGTTATCTGGTTTAATGAATGGTTCCTTAGTGGTTGACACCTGTTCTCGATGTTAAACCAGACTAGCCCCAGTTGTCAGTCCGTCCCCTTGGTTAAATTATTCCATTCAACGTCAGAGAAGAGATCATAAAAAGATGGAAGAAACAATCCTCCAAGTACAATACCTTCACATGAAGGAGCTACTAACCATGCCCAAGCAACTCTTAAAAGATCAGAGAGCAGCGTATTTCTCTGGCCTGATCAACAATAACAAGCAAAACCCTATTAACCAACTTCTGAATCCTGCCAATTCTGGATTTCCTGCCACCTTCTCTGACGATTGTGAAAGTTCTTCTTTGGCAGGATCAATGGTTTCTATCAATGGTTCCAGTTTTCTCTCTATTGTCAATCTCTCTCTTCTGGCTGCATACCACACTATTTCAGCCAGTGTCTTCCCCTTCCTCAAATAACTCTCCCTAGATACCACCATTTTAGTTTTCCAGACTTTTATTCTTAAAAGTTTTAATATTTAAAAAATGTTGTCTCCTACCAGCTTCTCCAACTGGTTGAGGGAGATAATGTCTTTGATAAATTTCAATCTGTCTTCTGTCAAAAACACAGCACTGAAACAACACTGCTCAAGTAACAAACAAAATTAAAGCGATTTCACACTGTGTTGCTTTGTCTCCACATTTTATCTGCATCTTTAAAAATAATAATATTTTTATATATAATATCATTTTTAAAAAAATGTAAATTTAGCTTATACAAAAGTGTCAGATGATGCCAGTGACAGAATGTGTCAGAATGTCAGCAGTCTGTTGGTTCTTTTGATTTAAGTCATTATTCTCCTGTTGTGTGTGTTTTGTCATGTGACTATCAGTGATGATCATGACTGGATGGAGAGTCTTGACTGCATCCGAGTGTCACATTCAGAATGTGATCTGAGCAACTCCCTCCGTCCCTTTGACAGGTAGGAACAAGACTTCTCTCATCACTTCAAGGCCTGTATAATATTTATATAATAGTTACTTTACAGTGAGCTGAACATAAATCATATTTATTTGTAATTTCTAATGCCACTCAAATATTCATACCGGCCAGCAAGCTAACACTGTATCATGTCAGCTAAGTGCAGTCAATGTAATGTTATCACACAATAAGCATGGATAAGTTCAACATCAAACAGATAAAAATATTACTCTAACATTGCAGTGGGAGTTTACCTGAGTTTCTTGCTTGTTGTGTGAAGCTCTCTGTGTTTGTCGCTCATGAGTTCAACCATGTGCACGAGCACAACTACTACTATCAGCAGCTACTGCTACCTACTCAGTTAGCCTTTCAGCTAGCCATCCTATTGCTGATTCTGCCTGGACAGGAAGCTTTGTGCTCCGGGTGTGGGAAAACATTAACACTCTCAAATTACCAAGGTGGTTGGGGAAGAAAAAACTGACTGCTGGAGAAAAACCGTCAAGCTTGACGGTTTTTCAGAAGCAAAATAATAACAATTAGTTTAAGCATAAATAACAAGGCAACTAACAGTTGCCAACCATGGACAACCCAAATATGTGTCTGTGGGTGTGGCAGCAGGCAGGGACGAACCCAAGCAGCTAGGGCACCTTGCAATCCCCACAGAGCAAGAAAGACCACAGACCACATGCCCCGGGGAAAGCCACGCCCCATCCCAAGGGAGAACCAGAGGCAACAAGGTACAAAATAAAAGGTTGTTAAATTAGTCATTATACAGCACAAGGCTGCATAACGAAACAAAATTTGTAATTCCTTTGTGCTACACACACAACATATAGGCTAAGTAAGTGTATGCCTATGTTAAAATATGGTAACATATAAAATAAAATAAAACAATAGTTATTTATATACATATATACATACACATATACACCTCAAACATTCCACAGTGCATTTTTTGAATTTTCTTCTGAGGTGAATGTAAACAGCAGCAACCAGATGATAATATGAAAGTTTCATCTTCACAATAAACAGTCTGACATCTGGGAAACAGAGTCCATCCTGACTGCATAATTTGTGCACCAAGCATCATTGATGTAAACACACAGTCCACTTCCCCCTCATCTTGCCGGAGTCTTGCGCTAACAGCTCGGAACATGGACCACCTGCCGAGTGTTTGATCCGGGGTGTTGATGGATGTGGGCACGACAGTCTCTGAATTCCGTTGTTTGGTCAACATGAGTCCCATTTTGTCAAGACCGGATATTTAGGAGCAAAATTAAGTCCAAGCTGGGCCAGCATGGCTCCTCTCCTGGCTCTCTTTCCTCTCCTCTGAGCGATCAGCACCCGCTGTGGCGCATGGTCCAGTTGTGGACCAGTTGTGGTCTGCTGCTCATTAATCCAAAAACCCCATCTTCATCTTCCAATGACTGAGGTAATGCATGTTTTGGCAATAAAGCCAGAATAAACAGATAAAAAACAAAAGTGTAGCAAAGTTTGAAGGAGTTAACGACTGCTGTGTCTACAAGCACTGCCGGTTGCCATAGAAAGCAACAGCCCCCAGCCCAGCGAGAGGCCACCCCCTAAATGCCGGCAGAGCTAACAGCACCCACCAGCCACTTTATCAAAGAGGAAAGTCTTAAGCCTACACTTTAATGGTGTCTGCCTCCTGAACCCAAACTGGAACCTGGTTCCACAGGAGAGGAGGTTGACAGCTGAATGCTCTGGCTCCCATTCTACTTTTGGAGACTCTTAAGAACCACAAGTAGGCCTGCATTCTGGGAGCGCAGTGCTCTGGTGGGGTAGTAAGGTACTATGAGCTCTTTAAGATAAGATGGTGCCTTTGTAGGTAAGAAGAATGATTTTAAATTCTATTCTGGATTTTATAGGAAGCCAATGCAGAGATGCTAAAACAGGAGAAATGTGATCTCTTTTCTGGTCCCTGTCAGAACACGTGCTGCAGCATTCTGTATCAGCTGAAGAGTCTTAGTGGATTTATTTGAGCAGCGTGATAAGGAATTGCAGTATTCCTGCATGGAAGTAATACATGCATAAACTAGTTTTTCAGTGTAATTTTTATACAGGATGTTCCTGATTTTTGCAATATTACGTAGGGGAAAAAACGGTTTGCTTGCTGAGTTAAACAACTTGTCCTGATCAAAGATAACTCAGAGATTCCTCACAGTGGTGCTGGAGGCCAGGGCGATGCCATCCAGAGTAACTATATCTTTAGATAAAGCATCTTGGAGGTGCATGAGCCCCAGTTCAATGACTTCTGTTTTATCTGAGTTTAACATTAAGAAGTTACAGGTCATCAGGTTTTAACATCCTGAAGGCACACTTAAAGTTTAGCTAAGTGATTAGTTTCATCTGGCTTGATCGAAAGATATACTTGACTATCATCTGTATAACTTTAAAATTTATGGAGTGTCCGCCTAAAGGAAGCATATATAATGTGAACAGGATTAGTCCCAGCAAAGATCCTTGTGGAACTCCGTAAATGGAGGATTAATCATTAACATGTATAAACTGAGATCGATCTGATAAATAGGACTTAAACCAGCTTAGAGCAGTTCCTATAATGCCAATTAAATGTTCCAGTCTCTGTAATAGATATCCTATAGGTCAACTCAAAGACATTAGTCATTTTCACCAGTGTTGTCGCTCTGAAAATCCTCTAATAAACTATTGCTATTTAGAAAGTCACACAGCTGTTTATCGACTGCATTCTCAAGGATCTTAGAGAGAAAGGGATGGATCGATATAGGTCAATAGTCAATAGACTAAATCCCTTTGATCAAGAGTGGCTTATTAAGAAGAGGTTTAATTACAGTTACTTTAAAGTACTGTGGTACATAGCCTGTTAATAAAGACAGATTAATCATATCTAGTAAGGAAGTACTGACTAAAGGTAAAACTTCTTTTAGTCAAGATGAGGTCTAAGAAACAGGTTGATAATTTAGATGACGAAATTATTGAAGTTACTTGGTAAAGATTGAGGGAAGCAAGGTAGTCTAAGGTTCCTGAGTTTAGAGACAAGGTGAATTTCGTCTCTAATAATTAGAAGAATTTAATCATTACAGAAGCTTATGAAGTCGTTGCTATTGAGGGCTGTAGGAATACATGGCTCAATAGAGCTGTGACTCACCGTTAGCCTGGCTACAGTGCTGAAAAGAAGCCTGGGGTGTTCTTATTTTCCTCTATTAATGACAAGTAATACGCTGCTTTGGCATTATGGAGGGCCTCTGACTATCTTGTCAGATTAAACGAGATTCTTCCAGATTGATGGAACGCTATTTCCTTTCTAGTTTCCGCAATAGCTACAGCAATCATCAACATCAATGCACAAGTGACGAGCCCAACGCGCACATTGCGAGAGCACGGCGACACCCAACGCCCGGCAGCCCCCCGCGAATCCCGCATGCGAGGCTGGGCAAACGAGAGAGACCGAGCGCCATAACACGACAGCGAAAGCCAGCGGAGAGAAACACCAGCAGCAAGTCCCACCCCGGCAGCAAACGCGCCACGTAGGTCACCGTGCACCCACCAATAAAAGTCTGCCGTCCCCCCAACCGCCGGAAAAACTAAGGCCGCCCGCGCCAACCGACAGCACGCCCCCAGGCCGCTGTGCAACACCAGCCAAACCAGGCAAAATCAACTAACTTAGCTGCATGCCACCACCAACCCACCCACCCATCAAGGGCAGAGAACTCCAGGCACAAACCCAGAATAAACCGGAGCACAGCCCTGCCCCGCACCCACATTGCACATCCCGAAAACTAACTTTATACTTCAGTATCCAGAGGGGCCGACAGAGAAATCTGGAAGCATGGATCTGAGGCCAACGAAGCAAACCAGGGACGCAAACTGGTCCCTCCAAGCCAATGAGGAAATGCCTCCCCCGGACTCCAATGCACAAACTAAACGCCCAGTAACCATCCAGAGACCCTGCACGGGGAAGGGAAAAAACCCCCGACAATGCATCAAGATGCATCGACAATCGCCCCATAATCCCACCGCAGCCCTCCAAACCGCAACCGGATCAACCCGCGCAGCGCCCAGAGACCCCCACCCCTAGTAGCCAGGGCACCCCGCGACCCCCCAAAGTGCAAAGGACCCCAGACCCCAGAAATAAGCAAAAGCCAGAAGCCCAAGTCCCCAGACCCCTAGGTCCACGCCAGGGAAGCCACGCCCCCCCAACCCACCCCAGATCAGGCAAGGCGGACACCAACCCCACGGCATCCCCGACGCCTGGGGCTCCAGGGGCAGGACACAAGGCCAATGAGAATCCCCCCACTCCTTCAACCCCTCTGCCTGCCTCTGTAAATGTATTGTTTTGTGTTGGATGTCATGGATTGTGAAGTGCAGTAAGGGAGGTAGAAGGCCGAGGCCGCAATAAAGCAGCCCCACCCACCAAACGCCCTGCAGCCTGCCTGCTTTATTAGAAGGCCGAGGCTGCAATAAAGCAGCCCCACCCACCAAACGCCCTGCAGCCTGGACGCCAGGTCCCTCCAGCCCAGGGCTTATAGCAAGAGCCCCTCTAGCACCGGCAGCACCCCAGAGTCAGCGACAACCCCGCCCAGCCCCCCCAGTGCGCAGACCCGCCCAGACCCAGAGATTCCAAAGCCCCAAACCCCAGACCCCCACACCCCGAGGCAGCTCAGCATAGCCCCGACCCAAAGCCCAACAATACCCCGCACTCGCCGGGGCCCCTCCGGCAGCCCCACTGCCACCCCCCACCTCACCGTTCCCACACAATCAGGAGCACTCCGAGCACCACCAGGTTATCGGAGCTGGCACAAACCCCCCACTCAGGCCAGGCCAGGCCAGAAGACCCCCACCCAAGCGCCCTTCCCTCCCTAGCAGCGAAGCATCCCACACACACCCCCACCGTCTCCAAAGAAAAGAGACAGCAATCACCCCGCGACAGTAGCAACAGCCCCTCAGCCCTAGGAAGTCAGCAAATGCACCCAGCCCAGCCCGCACCCCCAACCCACCCCGTCA